ATTTTAAGAAAATTCAAATTAGAAATACAAATTCAAATAAAAATTATAATTTAATTTTTAATTAATGTTGTGTTGCTGTCGTTAGTTTAAGTGATAATTTTCTCTGAGTTATGCTTGTGTGTGTGTGTGTATGTGCGTGTGAGGCGAAGGAATGATGAGAGATAGAGCTAATTTATGGTAAGTAAAAAGGCATGAAGAACAATAACGAACGATTTGTTGTTGTTGGTTTGGATGTAGTGGTTGACATGATGAAGACTGATAGAAAAAGGACGATCCATAGCAAATGTTTCTTAAAAAATACTTTTTATTTTTTTATTTTAATTTCAAGGTTTATTCAGGTTCGAATGAAAGTTTCACAATATTTACAACACACAATTTGGGAATGTATCAATTTTTTTATTTATTTATTTATTTTTTTTTAATTTAAAATTGAAATTTAGAAAATTCAATGAAATGTGAAATGAAAGAGTAGTAGACGAACAGTTGTTTACAAAAGGGTTATTTGAAGTGTTGATTATTTAGCATTCAAAGCATTCATTCCAAAAGTAAATGAAAACTAGTTAGGCTATCCTGGTTGTTGTTGATTATTCGAAAGGGAGGAAGAATGAGTTTGATTGGTAGTTTTGGATTGATAAAGAAAACATTTAAATTTATGTAGGTACATTATTATTATTATTTTTTTTTTTTTTTGTTCAAAAATATATATATGAATGTATAGTATGAAATTATAGCCAAGAGCAAAATGTAACACATGTAACATTGGACTACTTAATAAAATTGTAATATGTTTGTATACGAAATACTACAAAGATTAGAATAATTGTATTTGTTGTTTTTTCAGTTTTTATTTTCAAAATGAAAAATAAAATTGTCTTCTTTTTATTTTAAAAGAAAAATATTGTGTTTATCGGTTAGAGAAACGAAACGTAACTAATTTATTTTATTATTGCTTTGTTTAGAAAGGCAACTGCAGGGGAATTTGTTATGCTGGGTGGAATTATTTTTGTCGTTAAAAAAAGAAGAAACTTTTTTTTTATTTTTTTCAACCGTTTTTTTTTTCTTTGTTTGGGATTCGATTTGTTTTTCTTTTGTTCATCATGCAACTTACCCGTACAGTCTACTATCTCGGAAACTCCTTCTTGTGTTTCACAAAAAAATATTATTTGTTTGGTATATTTTTTGTTCATTGATTGTTAGTTTTTTTTTTTTTTTTGCGGTAACGTTAATTGAATAAAATTAAATTTTAATAATTGCATCAAAAAAGTTAAATAAAATATTTACGAAATCAGTTGTGAAATGTGCTGGTTGGAAATAAATGATTGTTTTGGTAGAGTGAATGTAAATTTTGTGAACTATAATAATGTTATTGTAGCCATGATGTGGTCAAGATTAAATGCCAAATTTACTCAGATGTGATCTGCAGGACTTTTTGGTATTGAAAATGGGCCATATAGGAACATGTTTTTATAAAGCCCCAATATGATATGATATATATGGTCACAATTATAACCTGTAAATTGGCATTATGTGACCCATTTTGTAAGAAACATCCTTGCATGAATACGTCAATATAGGTCTGAGTGTTCCTATAGTCCCAATATAATTGTACTTCCAGATATTCGGTATTTTGATGATGTATGTCACGCTTTTCACAAGTTTATATTTTGGAATTTAAAGTTCCTAATGGGTACTACAGCCTATAACGGAAAATTGCAGGTCCAAGTCTTCGTATATCCCCCACATAACGGTACCTCCATATATTAGGTATTTTGATGATTTCAGCGACATTGTTCACCAGAATTGTTTCAAATTTGGTATTTGAAGTTCGTAATGGATGCTACAGCCTAAGACAGAAAATTGTATGTGCAGGTCCACGCCCGTCCACATTGTTCATCAGAATTGTTTCAAATTTGGTATTTGAAGTTCCTAATAGGTACTACAAAATTCTGTTCGGTCGAGCTTGCTGCTTTTTAAATAGCTGTTGTACTTCTCTAGAGTTATTTTCGTTGCCGCGAAGGATCCTTGTCAAAAATTAAGAATGATAAAAAATAGCAAAACATGTGAAACGTTGGTAAACTGATCCCTACAAAAGGGAGTGGAAACCTTTGAGAGAGATCATAGTACAGACAGATTAGTATGGACATCGAGACAAGCGAGAGTCAGCTTCCCTAGACCACTCACCCACCGTGCCGTGATTAGTTGAAGTCATTAAGGCTGGTCAGATGTTAATTTGAACCAAGAGAACTAAAAAGCCACTCTATAGCTTGAACAACCTGAGAAGTAAAAATTCGCGAATCCAACAGCAACGTGAAACCAAGCCCGTTCGTTGGCCTTATTATTTGGTTGGATTCCCTTTTCATTATTAAAAAGAAACATTGGTCCTTCGAACAAGATAGATAATTAAATCTACACCCAAACTAAGCGGCTGCGTTCCTTCCTCGCATCGTACATTTGGTCCTTCGAGCCGGATATATAATCGAATCAACAATCGCACCATAAGGTTGTTCTTCTTGGTTAAATAAAAATATTGTGATGTGTGACAATCGGACTCTTACATCACATTTTGTAACAGTTATAATTATTCAAAATTTTGACACTTTTGGATGTGGAGGTAATTGATGGAGTTGACCGATATTGTCCATTTTCGCACTTGACCTAGCACTGATGCAAATATTAGCATTAGCCGCATCAGCCATATGTAGTAGTTTTTTCATATATAGTGGAAATAGAGATTTCTTTAGGAACTAATAGTGAAATTTAATGAAGAAGATATTGCTCTTCGGAGTTATAATTCGAAAATATTAGAGGATTTTTTTAATTGGGAGATTTTTGCACAAACTTACAGAAAGTACGGTTTTTACCCAAAAATATGTTTTTAATAAATGTAAGATCTAGGCTCTTGGCTATGGTAAAATTTGAACATTTTAAAAATGGCGTAAGAAAAAAAAACTTTAGGAAACGTTTGCAATCGTTTGGCTCTGTATTTTCTCGTTTCGTTCTGTATTTTCTCGAAGTAGGACACGAATAAAAATCGATATTAAGATAACGGGACTTTCCTCCACCATACATAGTATGGGGGGTATATATATATAAGTTTGTCATTCCGTTTATAACTCGTCGAAATAATCACTTTAGACATAACAAAGTATCTATTCTTGATCAACGTAAAATTCTAAGACGATTTAACCCTGTCCGTCGGTCCGTCTGTCCGTCTGTTGTAATCACGCTAGACCCAGAACAAATAGAGATAGCAAGCTAAAGTTTTGCACAGATCAGTATTTTTTGTGCAGGCAGGTCAAATTCGATATCATTTCGGGTTTTTTGATGATTTTCGGGTTTTTGATGATTTTAGCCACATTTTCCAGTGAAATTCTCTGAAAATCCACACATGGAATTCTTTCTGAGTACTTTACGCTTCGGATCAAAATTGTTTATATAGTTCTACGATGTCGTATGCCCCCATACAATCGTCTGAGCTCTTTTTGAGTATTTTACGCCCTGGAAAAGAATTGTCTATATAAGTCTACGATATCGTATAGCCCTCATACAACGGTACCCCCGAAATTCGGTATTTGATGATTGTAGCCAAATTTTTAAATGAAATTGTCCGTAAATACACAAAGAGATTTTCTTCTGGGTACTTTACCCCTGGAAGATTATTGTCTATATTGGTCCACCATATCGTATATCCCCCATATAACGGTACCTCCCTATATTCTGTATTTTGATGATTTTAGCTACATTTTCCAATTGAATTGTCTAAAAATCCATAATAGAAGTTCTTTTTAAGCATTTTACTCCCTGGAACAGAATGTCTGTATAGGTCCACAATATCGTATAGCCCACATACAACGGTACCCATCGATATTTTGACGATTTTAGGGACATTTTTTCGTCGGAGTTTTCTCAAATTTCGTACCTAGACCGGAGTTGTCTCAAATTTCGTATTTAGAGTTCGTAATGGGAACTACAGTCTATTACAGAAAATTTTTCTATGCAGGTCCAGGCCTTCGTATAGGCCCTATATATCAGTACCTCCCTATATTCGGTATTTTCCTGATTTTAGCTCCATTATTAACCGGATGTTTTCAAGTTTCGTATTTGAATGTTGTAATGACTTTTTACAAAAGCTGAATATGCCGGTCCACGTCTTTGTATACATAGACCCCAATATAACGGCTATATTCGGTATTCTTAAGAATTTAACAGAATTTTTAGCGGATATTATTTTTTTTTTAATTTTCAAATTCGTTTCAAATGGTGAAGGGTATTCAAAGTTCGGCCCGGCCGAACTTATTGCTTTTTTACTTGTTAATTTTTAAGATCAGTGCGGTTATGTCAACGCGTGACACGAAACAACGCGTAGCGCTTTAATACTGCGTTGGCCTTTAATGTCGAAGCTAATTTATGGAAGCCACCATCAGGAGCCTTTCATTATTCATAAACTTATTACTCAAGGCGTTCATTTTAGTATATAGGAAAATCTATCGATCGATATCCCCGTTATATATCGATATTGTCATCGTATTGATTCATATTTTAGAAATAATTTTTTTTCAAATAAACTAAACGAAAAAGGTTCGAAATTATGAACACTTTAAGTCTCGACTTTATCATTGCTACAACAACATTATTATTTAAAAAAAAAAAAAAATAAATAAAATAAAAATATATATTTTTTAAACTCTGTTAATAAACTTCCAAGTATTGTTTTTATATTCTGAGAGCGATTATATTTTTCATTGAATTTAATTGTATTAATCTAAAAACTAAAGATATTATTTTTATTGAAAAGTCGAATAATTATTTTTAGGCCTAGAAACGACAATTGAAAACAAAACAACAAAAAATAAAAACAAATCTCAAATAAAATATTTAATGAAAACTTAAAAATAGATGATGATGTAGTATGAATGATGAATAAAAATATATAGATGGAGTTTATGTATGTAAATAACAACAACAACAATAAGTGTATGACAAATGATCAAAAAATATACCTTCCATTTCCATGACGGAAGAGAGCCAAAATCTCTTCGAATGTCTTATTTTTGGTCTCAGGAACCTTCTTGTAGGTGAATATCCAAAATATGGCTAAGAATACACTAAACGGTAAGAATGTATAGTTTTCCAAAGCAGTCTGCAAGAAGAAGTGATATATGCATTATCTAATAACACGAAGAGTATAAATATTTAAGCTACTTACCTTCATACTGGGGAATCCAATGCCAACCACAAAATTGGCCATCCAATTTACCAACACCGCTATGGCCATGGCACTGGGCCGGGGGCCTTGGGAAAATAGTTCGGCCGTTATCATCCAGGGTATTGAGCCGGGACCCACCGCAAAGAAGACGACAAAGCCCAGTGTGGATACCACCGACAGATAGGACATCCAATCGATCATTTCCTGTACATAACCAAAAAACTCCTATACAAAACGTGAAGCTACCAAATTCTCGATGATTTGTAGGCTTTTTTTGGGTTTGTTTTTTTTTTAATTGTTTTAAATTAAAATTAATTAATTAAAAAATAAATGATAATTTAAATTCTCACTTAAAGGAAATGAAATCAAATAAAAAAAGTATTTACTCTGTTAACTCTGTCCTAATTATGGGTTTATGGGAAGTTGCAGAACTGATTCGATGGAATTTTGAGAGGTAAAAACTTTATAAATTCAGTTGGCCTAGTGAGGACTCGTCTTTATGAAACTTGGTATATCGGACGCTATGAGCTATGAGCTACCAGCTCTTATTCTAAGAGGTATACTTTACATTCATGGTTCACAAATGAACTAGATCAAATGAACTGATGAGACGGACGGTTAAGAGAACATGTTTTTTTTTAAATAAAGGAGAATAGCGGTGACATCTAGCATAGATGAGAGAGATTTGTTGCGTATCATAGCTTTAGAATAGTCAAAACTTAGGGACTATATTCAACTCTTTTTGTACCTCTAGTACCAAATAACTGTTGCTGTATAGTACATGATATGACTTCGATAAGAACTATATTGACAAATATTTATTGGAGCAATAGATATACCGGACCGAGTTTCACCAAATGGAAAAATTAAGTTGAATATGAAAAAATCTATCCAATTTGTGCTGATATTATATATATGGAGAACAATAATTCTAAAATCGTATGAATCGTATGTATATCGAATGTATGTAGAAATCTGAACCGATCTCGATAAAACCTGACAGAGGTATTTTCGAGTTGTATCTGTTGTCCGGTATCAAATTTTATTTTTTGTGGAGTGCATATTACGCATATGAGGGACTTTAATACCAAATCGAATGAAACATGTATATGGGAGCTATAGGTATATCTGAACTAATTTTCACCAAATTTGATGTACACTCTTCTGGGTGTAATTCAGCCAAAAGTGCCAAGATTCAGTCCATTTGGATATGCTATTAGCCATTTGAGGCTCAATAATCCTGCAATATATAAATATATGTATGGATAGGATAAACAAAATATATGTATGGATGTTATATCCAAATCTGAACCGAACTTAACAAAATTTTAGGCACTTATTTCTGAGGTGTAACTGATATCTGGAACCCAATATCATAGTTGTGGAGTGCATATTACGCATGTGAAGGACTTAAAACCACAAATTGGTTGAAACCTATATATAGGAACCGATTTTCTCCAAATTTGATATACTTGCTTCCAAACTGGACTCGGCCGGAAGTACCAAAATGCAGCCCAATTGGGCTGATATTACCTATTTGGTGCACAATGAACCTGATATCGGATATGGGAGCTATTTTCAAATCTGAACCGACCTTAACAAAATTTTAGGCACTCATTTCTGAGGTGTAACTAATATCTGGTACCAAATATTATTCTTGTGGAATGCATATTGCGCATGGGAGGGACATAAAGCCCACATCGAATGAAACCCATATATGAGAGCTATAGCTATATCTGAGCCGATTTTCACCAAATTTGTTATACTGGTTTCTTCACTGAATTCGGTCGGATATGTGAAAATTCAGATGATTTGGACTGCTATTGGAAATTTGGGGCACCATTAATCCAGAATCGGTTGAAGATATATATGGGAGCTATATCTAAATTGCAATCGATTCTCACCAATTTTAAAAGGGTTCATCCTTGACATCCTTGACCGGACAGACGGACTGACAGAAAGTGATTCTATGAAGATCCTTAAAAGTAACTATGGGGCTATCTCGCTTCCTTCTCCATGTTACAATCAAATGGACAAAGACATAATACAATTACCACTATCGATTATATACTTTCTATGGCATTTCACAATAATCGTTGCATACTTTTTGGCAAAGTATGAAAATGAAAACAAAGACATACAGGATAAGATGAAAAAACTGCAACCAACTTCAGACTGCTGTCATTTCTAAGCCACTCGTCCGACAGCTATTAAAATTATTCCAGTGACAGCTCATTATATTGTTTACAAGCGTACAAAAGCATTTTGGTGAGAATTTTCCCGGAAAAAAGTTATTCGTGCTGGAATTGAAGCGTGATAGTGTGACTTCTTTATATTCGGCTGGAAAACCACAAGTGGCTATCGTTAGAGCACTCCAGCATTTAAATGTGATTGTGTAGGCCGCCATAACAGCCAAGGGTCGCTCTCCGCTCATATTAATCGACCGTGGCATAATAAATGCCGAATATTATCGCGAAAATATTCTGGAAGGTGTATTAAAGCCTCGGGCACATTTTGACCGCAAACCTTGGATATTCCAACAAGACTCTGCACTATCGCTCTCAGCAATAGTGGTTACAAAATGAGGTTCCTCGTTTCATTTCCAGCGCACAATGGCCACCAAAATCTCCGGATACCAATCCGCTGGACTTATGTGTCTGCAGTTTTTTGGAAAGCAAAGTGTCGATCACCTCGCTGAATATACCGCGGAAATATCGCAGAATAACATTCGGGCAGCGTGCGACCGTTTCATTTGCCGTTTGAAGGCTATAATTCGTGCCAAAGGTGATCAATTCGAACAAATCTAAAGTTATTCTAAAATTTGCTGCTAATTCCGACATTTTTTTACTTTCATTCATAACAATTATGGCATTTGACTTTGTTGCAGTTTTTGTATCTCACCCTGTATATTTTTCGGCTATTTCGGATTAATAGATTTCAGCAAAATTTCCAATGCAGTTTTTGCATGTCCTCGGCCATCTATTGCCTGATAAAAAGGCAATATTTGTCCAACCTGTATAATTTTATGTCTTTGATGAAAAGTTCCACTGACATCGTTTTCGAAATTTTCGGAATAAAAAATGTCAGTACATTTTCCAATACATTTTTTGCATGTCATCGGCCATCTATTGCCTGATCAAGACATTAAAAGGCAATATTTTGAAATTAAATAAGCAATTAAAATATTCGAAATATAAAAATAAAGAATCAGTTCTCCAGCTTCTCATTTAACTCAATTTAAAATTTCGTTAATTAAAATACAATTTGATTTATTATCAAATAGTTACCTCATAAAATTCTATTTTTAATACAAACAAGCTATTATGTTATTTCGTTATTTTTATGCATGAGTTGAGTAATTTTTTGGTTTTATAGTTTTATTTTCTAAAAAACAGCTGCATTGTCACAATGGCAGTTTGAAATTCGGTTTCACTTTTTTTTGATATTTTACAGAATTCAACTGTCGCTTTAATCGTTTTTTTTATTGGCATGGAACAGTTTTGTTGTTATAAGTTTAACAATAAATAACATGTGTTTTTATTAATTTAATTATTTATAAAAAATATATATTTAAATGGTGAAGTCAAAATTTGAATTTTTGCGGCGTGGCTTTCGTGAAGTTTTTTTATTTTTTGAAACAGTGTAATAGGTGTTATTTTACACAGCTTATTAAAGTGTTTGAATGGGATTGTTATTCGTTTATTTTTTTTTTTTTTTTTTAATTTATACAATAAATTACTTGTGTTGTATTTTTCTTGTTGTATTTTTTTTTTAGTTTTTTTCGGTGTTTCATTTGTTGTTGTTAACAAAAACTTCTGTGAATTGCTTGTATTTTCTTAAGTTGTTTCGTGAAGAAGGTGACTGAATCTGGTGCTTTATCGGTGTAGATACTTGTTGTTCACCATGTCGGTTTGTTTTTAATGTAAACGAAATTGTTTTGTTCTGCAAAGCATTTTTTATTTTTGAAAATGAAAAGTGTATTTCGAAAGAAATTAGAAGTAAATTTACAAAAATTAAAAGAAAAAAAAAATAATTGTAATTTTTTTTATTTGCTATGGGACAAAAGCCTGCCAAGTCGAGAATTTTTTCATTTGAGGGGTGGGGGACAATTGAATAAATGAGTTTTTTTGGTAGAAATTTTTTTTTTTGATTTCGAATAAGGGATACTTTTTGATGTTTTCTTATGATATTTCTTCAATATCAAACCAAAAACCGAAGCCGAAATTTATTTCATAAATAATCGTAGTTTTAATAAAAAATAACCCACAAGACTCGTCATAAATTAAACTATTTTCGAATACCAATTCTTTCCATTTTATTTCAGTTTCTAAAATTATTAAATTCGAAGAGAAAATCATCTGGGTCATGTCATAATAAGAAGGTGCTCCAGCGAATGTTGAAAATCAGACGAAATGTCAAAATGACAAATTCTGGGTCATGTCGAGTGAATATTAAAAATCAGCCTATTTCTTTAATTTTTATCTGATGTCAGTCACAATAATGCATTTTGATACGCAATTAGGTAATCAGTTGATCTTGAGGGGGGACCTTACAATTGGACCATTATCACGGTCTAGCTTAAAATTTCGAATGCTATTAGCTACCACATGCCAGGAACTATATTACAATGAAAATGGCAATAATTTTATTAACATCGAGACGGCCGAACACCAATGAAACACAGGACTACACGTAACAGATAACAACCAGTTAGGAAAACCCAAAAGTATGGCGGCACCGACTATATGATACCTATACCACTATGTATATTAAGTAGAGCTCCCGTAAAAAAAAAATTATTTATTTGGAGTAGATCATACCACCCATCAACCTTTGGCTTTAGATCAGTTGTAATTTGCTTACAGAGGGAACTAATATATGGAAGGCTTATCCAATTCTGAATCGATTTTTACTAAATTTGACGAAGACATTTTAATCTTTTATACCAAATAACATTGCTATAGAGTGTATGATATCATTTCGAGAAGGATTATATTAAAAAAAGATTTATACCGGAGCTGAGTTCCACCACATGAAAACGTACGTCCCGAAAATCACTGCATTCGGGCTGGTATAAAATTCTGAACCGATCTTGACAAAATTATATCTGGTACCAAAGACCATTGTTGTGGAGTGCATATTACACATGTGAGGGACTACAACACCAAATCGGATGAAACATATGTATGTAAGCTAAAGCTATA